AGATCAGTATGCGTGTGAGCGCCAGAATTCAGTGGTGATCGCTAGCGTCAAGTAGTGATGAAGAAACTGGGTGATCGGCTCTTGCATCGTTTCACTAACGCTATAAACTCCGACCACCACTGTATTGTCTCCTCTTTCCCATCTCTTCTAATGGTTTCTTCATCCTCTGTTCCGAGAGAAAAGTTTGTATTTTTAAGAAAACAAGTTTATTTTGTTGTTTACTTCATTTCTTAAACTGTTTTTCTTTTCTTTCCTTTCATCAAATTGTGTAGAAAGATTTTGCCGTAGTGGGTCTCCGTATAAATCCAGAAAAGCAGGGACTTTAAACGATCAGAGAGTTACAATTTCTTGAGTAGTTGATTTCCTAATCAATTTTTGCTTGATTATCGTAGATAACGCCTTTTGCAGTTTGTTTTAAAGACCAGTTCTACAGATCCTATATCTATGGCCGCTTTTCATAAGTCTTGTTTTACACACACTTCGAATTCTCATGTTTGTAGTTTTTCTATAAACAAAGAGTGTTGATGTTTTTTTCTTACAATAGTATCAAGGACAGATCAAGGTACAAGTGGTCTTAGACATAGACAGGATCCCAGGATGCCTCCTCAAGGTGTCCGGCTGCATATCCAAGACCGATATGTAATGCAACTTCCTCAGTCTATTAATCTGTCTTTCATTAAATGTTTTTGGACTCTGAAGATAGAAATAATGTTGCAGGTTATGATGGACAATGGAATCCTCCAAGTTACATTGTCTAAACCAGGTGGTATCATCACTGGCATAAAGTATAACGGTATTGACAATGTGCTCGAAGTTCATAACAAGGAGACTAACCGAGGGTATGGCTGATGTTTAAGTATTTGATATTTGATTCTCTGAAGATAAATATTCTTTCTCTTATTCTTAACATTCAGTTAATCGATAATAAGTGAATGTATAGGTACTGGGACCTGCACTGGAATGAACCTGGAGGCAAGGGAATATTTGATGTGTATGTCTTCTATTTAACAATCTTTAGTATTGTGAGATCTTTCGTTAAGTTGATGTGTGACTCAAAACTATTTTCTCTCAGCCTAACTGAAGTTGTCACTGCATCAAAATAGCCTCTCTTTTCCCCCAGGCCTTGAATATTACTAATTGGTGGGTCGTTTGATTGTATTTTATGCAGCATCAGTGGAGTTACTTTCAGGGTCATAGTCGATACTGAGGAACAAGTTGAGATCTCATTTGTAAGAACATGGGATCCATCCCTTGAGGGCAAGTACATTCCCCTGAATATCGATAAAAGGTCTTTCTTGAATTATGAATCACCTCTGACGAGAAACAAAAGCAGAGGCGAAACATTGGCATGATGCTCTTTCTTTCAGGTTTATAATGCTCCGTGGCTCTTCTGGAGTTTACTCATACGGAATTTATGAACACCTTAAGGAGTGGCCTGGCTTTGAACTTGGAGAAACAAGAATCGCGTTCAAGCTCAGAAAAGACAAGTAATATTTTTACCATTTTCTACGCCAATTTCTCTTTCTCATGTAAAGCCTAATCGCCTTAAGATCCATGTTTGTGCACTGAGAAGAAAACCTCAAATGTTAGTGATCGCCCGTCCATGTGAAGAGTACCATAAATCCCTAGCAGAAGGATAGTGTCATTCGTCGGATATCTAGTCACTGGGTTTAATCGTTTGTCAACACAAGTGTAGTTGTTTGATATCTCATATATTTCCTCTTTGGTGATTCCTTTTATACAGATTCCATTACATGGCTATGGCAGATGACAGGAAAAGGATAATGCCTTTTCCAGATGATCTATGCAAAGGAAGATGCCAAACTCTAGATTACCAGGAAGCTTCCCTGCTCACTGCTCCCTGTGATCCACTCTTACAAGGCGAAGTATGCGGTTCCATATTATTTCCATCATTTAGAGATCAGAAGTACATTTTTGTATTATCCCATGACTTGTTTCAACTGTTTAGTCTCCTCTCTACTGATACATGTATCCGTATACTATGAACTTATTCTCGTTTTGTGAGATGTTAAAACCTCATCATAAGAATCCGGTAAATATTGTTTCATGGATAACTAAACCATTTTTCTTTTCTTATGACAGGTAGATGACAAATACCAATACTCGTGTGAGAATAAGGATCTGAGAGTACATGGATGGATATCGTTTGATCCACCTGTAGGATTCTGGCAAATTACTCCCAGTAATGAGTTCCGATCAGGTGGACCACTCAAACAAAACCTCACCTCACATGTTGGCCCAACCACTCTTGCAGTAAGTGTCCCTTTGACCAATGTGGTGTCTATTCAACTTTTTAGTCAGGATTAGCAGAATCTTGATCTCGGTTTTCATTATGAATGTACCAGGTGTTTCACAGTACACATTATGCGGGAAAAACTATGATGCCTCGCTTTGAATGTGGTGAACCTTGGAAGAAAGTCTATGGCCCTGTTTTCATTTACCTAAATTCCACAGCTAATAGAGATGAATCACTCTACTTATGGGATGATGCTAAGATAAAGGTACAAGGGAAGCAAATTGTTGAATACAAAAATAGATGTAGTGATAAAGAGAATGGTTCGCTTAAGTGGGTTAATCTGTAGATGATATCTGAGGTTGAAAGCTGGCCTTATAGCTTTGTGGCATCTGAGGACTATCCAAAGTCTGCAGAACGTGGAAGGGCCCGTGGTAGATTACTTATCCGCGACAGGTAATAGCGATTATTTGCATTCTCATTTCTTTTTCTTTTCCTGCATCGTCCTTTATTTTGCATTGCTTCTGCAATTGTTTTCTTATCCAGTTAACAGTCCACTTTATCACCACAAATTAATGTTGACTTCTGTATAGGTTCATAAGCAATGATTTGATTTCAGCAAAAGGTGCTTATGTGGGTTTGGCTCCACCTGGTGAGGCTGGTTCCTGGCAAATAGAATGCAAGGTGATTTTCTTCGTTCTCCATTCGTATTTGATTGCATCAAGCAGAAGAAAAGATCAGTTCGATAACTTTTGGATTCTTCAACTGTTAATGACTTATCAGGGATACCAATTTTGGGCGATAGCGGTTGAGGATGGCTATTTCTCAATAGAAAACGTGCGTCCTGGCGAGTATATTTTATATGCCTGGGTCCCTGGTTTTATTGGAGATTATCGCAACGATACTATTGTTTCTGTGACTTCAGGTAAATTAGTTCTATCAAATCTTATAGTTTCCTCCTATACACTATTGTTTCTTGATGGACATAACAACACAGGGTGCAAGATTGAAATGGGTGATATCGTCTATGAACCTCCAAGAGATGGACCTACCTTATGGGAAATCGGCATCCCTGACCGAAAAGCTTCTGAGTTTTTTATCCCGGATCCTGATCACACGCTTGTAAACAGGGCTTTAGTCCATCATCAAGACAGGTTTATGAGCCTACACCTTTGTGAATGTTACTGCTTGAATGTGTGATTAACCAAACTAAACACCACTTTGCTTTAATATATGCAGGTTCAGGCAATATGGGTTATGGAAGAGATACACAGATTTGTATCCTAATGATGACCTTGTCTACACTGTCGGTGTAAGCGATTATCGCAGAGACTGGTTCTTTGCTCAAGTTCCTAGGAAGAAAGGAGATGTGCATGAAGGAACAACTTGGCAGATTAGGTTTAAACTCGAAAACATTGACCAAAAGGCGGATTACAAACTGCGAGTTGCCATAGCATCTGCAACCTTAGCCGAGTTGCAGGTAAGAATGAAACTTCATATTTCTACACAAATGAACAAGTTATTAAGACTGTAAATGTTGTTGGCACTTCCTATTTGCAGGTTAGAGTCAATGACGCTGAAGCAAATCGCCCTCTGTTTACCACCGGACTCGTTGGGAGAGACAACTCGATCGCAAGGCATGGAATCCACGGAGTTTATATGCTGTACACGGTGAACATACCGGGAAACCGGTTTGTGCAAGGTGACAACACAATATTCCTGAAACAGCCAAGATGCAATGGTCCCTTTCAAGGGATTATGTATGACTACCTTCGTCTTGAAGGCCCTCCTTAGAATCATATATGATAATAGTACGTGTAAATGGAAAGCATTTGAAACTTAATATATTTAAACCAAAAGATAATGGTAACAACTGAAATCGTATAGATATGCAACTCCAAAAACCAAAGTTCTGACAATCAAAACTGAACCTGAGACATAAAAAGTAGAAAGGTACCCACTGAATTGTTTTCTTAGCGCCAATGAACATAAGAGGACTGACTAATGGGTGAACTACTTAATACTACATTTCCCTGCAACTTGCTCTGCGGAGCTTCTCTTCATGAGTCCTTTGTTACAAAGCTTATTGAGCAGCTCTAGAGCTTCCTTTGCCATACCTTCATAAGCTATGCCTTCTATCAGAATTGTGTACGATGTCTCAGTTGGTTTACACCCTCTGTTTATCATATAAACCAAGAAATCGATGGCACGGTCTGTTTGCCGAGTCTTACAAAGTCCCAGCATTATGGAGTTGAAGGTGACTGCATTTGGCCTAACGCCCATCCGCTCAAACTCATGGAAAAACTTAATAGCTTCGTCTACTTTTCCTTCCCTGCTCAAACCTCCAACAAGAGAAGAATAGGTGATCGTGTCAGGCTTTAGATCTTTTGCACGCATCTCATCCAGAAGCTTTATCGCTTTCCCTGTTTTCCCTGCTTTTGCAAGCCCATCAATGACTGTATTATAAGTGATTAGAACAGGAGAACAACCCTTGCTACTAAGCTGATTAAGTATCTCAACCGCATCTTCAACTTTCCCATCTTTGCACAAAGCCGTTAGCATAGTGTTGTAGGTCACAATGTCTGGATAACAACCACGAGAGACCATTCTCTCCAAATACTCGATAGCCCTATCCATCTTTTTCTCCTTGCAAAACCCGTGAAGCAGCGGGTTGTAACTCAAAGAATTAGGCTGGCATCCATGTTTAGGCATTTTCTCCAAAATGTCAATAGCTCGGCCGAGCAAACCCTTTCTGCACAAGAAATTAATCAAGATATTGAAAGTGACAACACTCGGCGAAAAGCCTTTACGAAGCATATCAGCAAGAAGCTTCTCCGCGTCCATCCATCTCCCTGTACTACACATACTCCGCAGGATTATGTTATGTGTAATAACATTCGGTTGACATCCATAAGACCGCATGTCATTCAAAAACTTAATCGCCTCATCCAATCTTCCCTCTTTGCAAATACCATTCACGAGAACATTATAAGTCACAACATCAGGCGTACATCCTCTATCCCTCATTTCATCTAGAAGCTTCATCGCCTGCTCAACACCGCTCTCTTTGCAAGTAGCTTCGATCAATATAGTGTAAGTAATCACATCCGGATAACAGTCCCTCTGCAGCTGCCTATCAAGAACCTCCATTGCTTGCTTTAGCTTCCCACTATCACAAAGAGAACGCAAGATCGTATTGTAAGTGACAACATCCGGCGAAACGCTCATTCTATCGAGAAGGGATAAAGCGTTATTGATCTCCCCAGCTTTGCAGTACCCACTGATCATAACATTGTAGGTTATAACATCAGGAACAGCACCAGAACCTTCAAGAATCTCCAAAATCTTTGCGGCTTTCTTCGTTTTACCCAACCTACAGAAACCGCGGATCAATGTCGTGCACGGGATGATATCGGGGACATTACCGTGATAAACCATGTTCTCCAGAAGCTTAAACCCTTCCTCTAATTCTCCAGCTCGAACTAGCTGCCTCAAATGGTTATTACTCTCGACATCTTCCAACACAAAAGACGAATTCACAGAGCTGAAATGACCATTTCCGTTACTATTGCTATGCCCAGAAGCCGAATTATCGAACTTCTGAGCTCTACCATTAAGACCAGAACTCTCAACCTTGGAGGCTGCGAAAACAAGAACAAGTCGGTTCCTTTTTCGTGACCCGAGAGAGAATCTAGACCTAATATTACCATTCGTACGACCTAAGACGTCAAGCTTACTACTTTGTTTACACTCGCGATGAAATTGTTGAACCAAGCAAAACCCTTCTTGTACACTGCTGGTCGACACCATCAAATCCATAGAGAGAACAATAAATCTTCACTACAAAAATGAAAACGAAAACGAAGTTCGGAACCTACACAGGTACACAAACTAATTAAAACCCTCTCTAAAGTAGTGGTTTTGAGACACGAGTAAGAAATTTTCGACAGAGATAAATGGGGAAGAAGAAAGGACAGAGGAGGCGGGTTACAAGAAGTGAAGTGAAAGGATATGGCAATGTTTTTTTTGTTTTGGACTTTTGTGAATTTGGGCCTCATAAAGTTGGATTTGGGCTTTAAGCCTTTAACTTTGAAAGCGAGATTAGTCAATGTCCGGTTAGTGCAGGTTGACCTTAGGGGCAAAATGGTCTATTTAGCCATGATTTTCTTTGATTGCGAACAATTACCTAACAATTTACACATAACTCGTAATTGAATCACAATATGGTATTGGTTTAGAAAAATGAAAAAGAGAAATGTTTAGAAGAGACGTAAGTGAAAGATTTGAGTCACACGAATGTCACCACCATGTTGGTCATTGCGGCTCTTTTAAGCATTTCGTCGAACACTAACCAAAACTGTTTTGACGACAAAGTCAAGAGATTCTCTCTCCACTATACCTTCTCTGCTTTATCTCCCGTTCAAGGCAACATAAGTTCTCCAAACTGAATCTCTCTGTATATATACACACACACATATATATATACGAAAACATGTAGATTTACTTTGAGCTTAAGACCAAAACCCACAAGACACTTTCAGCAATGTCGTCTGTTAAACTGAAGTTACAAGATAAAGGCAATCATGTTGGTTTACTTTTAACTCTTCTCATGATCTTTCTCTAAGTTCATTTCGTTGCAGATACTAGAAAAAAGACTGAAACTTTTTGATGAAAGTTTCTATATTGCTGGTGTATTAATGGTTCAGGTGGTGATGGATAATGGCATTGCACGGGTCACATTATCGAAGCCTGATGGAATTGTTACCGGTATCGAGTATAATGGCATCGATAACTTGCTCGAAGTTCTTAATGAAGAAGTCAATAGAGGGTAATACTAATGTGATATATATGATCCAAGTTTAGTTTTTCAAATTGGAGTATGAATTCTCTGTTTTTAGTGTCTCTGAACTTTCTTCCTGTTAGAGATTAATATTCGATAGATAGCGAGCCAAGTCAGTTTCTTGTGATTAAACCGTGGCAATATCCAATCAAGAAGGCTTAAACTAGTAAAACAATTATTTAAGTCTAAACATTCTCTTAAGAGTTAACACAAACCTAAACAAAGTCCAGTTATTGCATACATCTCTCTGTTTCTTTAGTCAACTTTTTCGCCAAAAGTTCTCATTGGGATGTAAAAAGTAAATGTATTCTTCAGGTATTGGGACCTTGTTTGGAGCGGATCAGGAACCACTGGTGCATTTGATGTGTAAGTCTTCTTCGTGAGCTTAACACCAAAATAAGATTACTCACAAAAATGTAGTTTGAGACTATAAAACCGAAGAAAGACTGCATTTTGGAATCAAATGGAGTATTTTCTTTTTGGAACAGAATAAAAGGAACAAACTTTGAGGTAATAATGGAGAACGAAGAACAGATTGAGCTTTCTTTCACAAGAAAATGGGATCCATCACAAGAAGGCAAAGCTGTCCCTTTGAACATTGACAAAAGGTCCTTACCTTTTTTAGATGCATAAATTTCATGTTCCATTTCATCAGATTATGAACCAGATCACATTGTTGAAACAGATTTGTTATGCTTCGTGGGTCGTCCGGATTCTACACTTACGCCATCTACGAGCACGTAAAAGAATGGCCTGCTTTCTCAATGGCCGAAACCCGAATCGCCTTCAAGCTCAGAAAAGAGAAGTAAACACAAAACAAAACAAAACCACTCCTTCACTTCCTAAACATCTTTGACACTTATCTTGTTATTAATGTTAAGCTGAAATAACAGGTTTCATTACATGGCAATAACGGACGATAGGCAGAGATTCATGCCATTGCCTGATGACCGGTTACCGGACAGAGGCCAAGCTCTGGCTTACCCTGAAGCTGTTTTACTTGTTAATCCTATAGAGCCTCAATTCAAAGGAGAGGTAAATGTTACTCATTGTGCTTACCAAAGTTGTAAAACCTGGTCTTTACCGGTTCTTCTTCGGGTTTTAGGTTGACGATAAGTATCAATACTCGTGCGAAAACAAAGACATTGGTGTCCATGGATGGATATGCACCGAGCAGCCATCGGTTGGTTTCTGGCTCATAACTCCTAGCCATGAGTACCGAACCGGTGGACCTCAAAAACAGAACTTGGCATCTCACGTTGGACCCACTTCTCTTGCTGTAAGAATACACATCTCTCTGCTCTTAACATTTTTCTCTAAGACCGTTATGTGATATACTTCGACATGTTTGACGCTGGATCCTCAGGTATTTATGAGTGCACACTATTCAGGAGAGGATCTAGTGCCAAAGTTCAGTGAAGGAGAGGCATGGAAGAAGGAGTTTGGACCGGTTTTCGTGTATTTAAACTCGTCCACTGATGATGATAATGATCCTCTTTGGCTATGGAAAGATGCTAAATCTCAGGTTAGTTCTTTAAATCTTCTTGTTTTATATAGTTAGAAGAACAAAACAAATCAAACATTATCTATGATCATTTCCAAATTTAAATCATTTTTCTTTCTCAGTTGAATGTGGAAGTAGAAAACTGGCCTTACAGTTTTCCAGCTTCAGATGATTATGTGAAAGCAGAGCAACGTGGTAATGTTGTTGGTAGGCTTCTCGTTCAAGACAGGTAAACAGTACTGAGCTTTTCTATAGTCATTGTAAGCTTCACATGAATATATATTGCAAGTAACCAATAGTCTAAAAGTATAAATTGTAAAATTTTATGTTTTTAAAGGTATGTAGATAAAGATTTTATTGCAGCCAATAGAGGTTATGTTGGTTTGGCTCTGCCTGGAGCTGCTGGTTCATGGCAAAGAGAATGCAAGGTGATTTTAAAAAATTGAAATTTACTAAATTTTACAAAAATAACATTTTCTAATGATTTATAATATTTGAAGGAGTATCAATTTTGGACAAGAACAGATGAAGAAGGATTTTTTTACATAAGTGGAATAAGACCAGGCCAATACAATCTCTATGCATGGATTCCTGGTTTTATTGGCGACTATAAATATGATGATATTATCACTATTACCCCAGGTCTTTATAACTTTCCTATTAACTTCCCCAAAACATATTTTTTTGTTACAAATTAAACCCAATATAATACTTTTGTTAATAATTGATTGTATGTTCAGGTTGTTATATGTATGTTGAAGATCTTGTATATCAGCCTCCAAGAAATGGAGCAACGTTATGGGAGATCGGTTTTCCAGATCGATCCGCCGCAGAGTTTTATGTTCCTGATCCGAATCCAAAATATATCAACAAACTTTATCAGAATCACCCAGACAGGTTTCAACATATAAATATACACATGCAAATGTTTTTTTTTTTTTTTTAAATACACATGCAAATGTTATTACATTTTTTAGATTATCAAAATCTTCTGATTAACATGCACTGTATATGATGTATCTAATTTCTCGTAGGTTTCGACAATATGGATTATGGGAAAGATACGCAGAATTGTATCCTGATAAAGACTTAGTATATGTTGTTGGCTCTAGCGACTATAAGAAAGATTGGTTTTACGCTCAAGTCACTAGGTTTTTCCTCATCATCTCTGTCTAAAATATCTTCTATTTTATTTAAATTTACGCTTTTCTCTAACCGTATTATTTCGTTATTTTTTTTTTTTTCATAGAAAAAAGGATAACAAAACATATCAAGCAACAACATGGCAAATCAAATTCGAACTCAAAAACATTGATAAGAATCATACCTATACTTTACGAGTAGCCATTGCATCCGCTACTTTTGCCGAACTCCAAGTACGTGTATATCTATCAATCCATGACATTTTTTGTACATTAAAAACAATCTAACTTAACTATAAATGAATCTTGACTCGCGCGTGACTTGGGAATGAAGATACGTTTAAATGATGCGAATGCAAGCCCGTTGTTCACGAGCGGATTGATCGGGAGAGACAACTCGATAGCAAGACATGGAATACATGGATTGTACTGGTTGTTCAATGTGGAAGTGGCTGGCTCTAAGCTTGTCGAAGGTGACAATACCTTGTTTCTCACGCAGCCAAGGTGTACAAGTCCTTTCCAAGGGATCATGTATGATTACATCCGATTCGAAGCTCCCAACTAATCAGATTTTCTTGCATTATACTTTCAGAAAGTTTAAGAATTTTTATGTAAAATATTTGTTGATTGATTCGATTCTTTGTTTACATATGCGTTTCGATTTCTTCCTTTTCTGAGGATATGCTGTTTCAATTTCGATAAGATCTTAACTTAAACAGCCTTTGGGTCCATGTACAATTTTAGTCTCACTATGAGAAATTGTTAAACTAAATTTTGCGTTTTCTCCATTTGGAAACATAAGTATAAATCGTTGACGATCCTCGTATATATATATATGGGAGGTACATCTTATATATATACGAGGTGAAGGTTTTAGTGGTTTACTCACAAGAGACAAGAGAAAGAAAAAAGCACAGTAATTATCTAAAGTAATTCAGGAAATTAAAATCATTACGCAAGGTACGTACAATTTTTTTTTTAAAATGTCATGATTCCATTCTTTTCATATACATTGATGAAGAAGAGTATATTTAGAGTTTTGAAATTCGGCAAAATTCTTGTTACTATTTTTTTTTTGGTCGAACTATTTTTTTTTTTTTTTGAATTGACTAATTTCTTGTTCTTCGTTGAATCTATGTCGTTTTTTTATGATATAGCTAAAGCTATGTTTAAATTTATGGGGCTATTTATTTGTTTCTCTTCATTGACTCACGTCGAACTTAAACGTGTTCATATTGTTTTAACAGACAGTAGTGAAGAAATGGAATTATTGTCCATTCAATATGTTCTTGGCTATTTTTTTTTTTAAATGTTATTGGCTTATTGCATAAGAAAAAAATTGCCATCGAGCTACCATCTTCTTACAATCGTCCATATGGACTTTGATGTTTAAATCTGTGATTATTTTTCAAATCAAATGGTTCTGTTCACTTGTCTAAAAATCAGTTTAGGTGGTTAAGGTCTCAACAGAGTTTGGGACATAAAATGTGGTTAAAAAAATTACAATATAAGAATTTTTTTGTGTTTTTGTGGGATTTATATTCTACAAATCCATTAAAAAAAAAACTCTTCAATCCATTTTAGTATGTCGGAATATATTCTTGATTGTGTCATAAGACTTGGTAAAAATAATAAAAAATATCTCAATATAACCTTTATAATTAGAGTTAATTAGTGAAATGAGCATGTGAAATGACATGACATGTTTGAGCATGTGAATTAGTTAAGTAACATGTGCAGATTATAAATTTGTTAACTAACAAAGAAAAATAAAATGAGACTATTTTACCCTTTATAACATTCAATGAAAATTGTCACATTCAATGCATATTTAATCCAATTTTTTTTTGTAATAAAAAGAGAAATATCATTATTTTTCTAGATATAAACTTTAAGTTGACATATATATAAAAGTATTTTTCTGTATTTTACGTTTTTTCAAAAAAGCATGTTTCTTTAAGTTTAATAATAATTGATTATTATTTAAATAGATGAAATATATAGTGAACTATATCATAAATTAAATATTATAGACATAAATAGTGAACTATTTCACTATTTAATTAAACAAATAGTGAACTTTATTTTAGGGAGCAATTACAAAAATGCCACTTTTGTGTGCACATTTGCAAGAATGCCACTTAGGGGTGTCCATTTATAAAAATGCCACTAATTATAGATTTATAAAACCTATATCTTAAAATTCTAAACCCTAAAAAATGTTTTGACACTTAAAACTCCTAAACACTCAAAACCAAACCCTAATAGAACATAATTAACCCAAACATAAATAATCTAAAGAAAAAATAATTTTCAAAAAGTGGTATTTTTGTAAAAATTTCAAAAGTATGGTATTTTTGTAAAGTGGCACTTGAAAAGTGACATTTTTTGAAATTTCTCTTATTTTAATATAATTAACTACATGTTTGATATAGTGAATTATTTAATTATATAAATAATAGTGAACTATTTGTGAATATAACAAGTATAACTGATTTTCTGTGAATAAAATTAATTATATAGATAACTATTTATTTATATATAGCCAACTACACATGGATATATAACCAA